CAGCGCCTTGCAATTATTGACTTCAAACAAGCCATCAATATGATAGGCTTATCAGCAGCGCAAGATCAAATGTCAATTCAGACTATCGCGACGGCTTCTGCTGAAATTTACATGAGTGTTGCTTTTCCAAAGAAAACAACGTAAATGTGTAAGCAGAAATAAATGAACTAAACAAATAAAAGTGTGGATTACAAAAAATATAAATAAGCTAATCTGTGGAGATGGAAACTACTCATACTTAATTGCTGCTCGCTCATACCTACAACAGTGTGCATTATAGTAATATAGTAAACGGTAATACTTACATGATGCTTTATTTATCTAACATGTTTGTGTAAAAAAAAAAATGTGGTATACAAAAATCAGTTTTTTGAAAAAGTTTAAGTTTAGTTTTGGGAATTTTTTAGTACTCAAGTAAGAATGATAACTGCTACTGGTTTGATTTAGAAAAATTTCGAAACCGAACTTAATTTTACACCATTTGGATGCTAGAAAAAGAAAAACAAAAATATCAACTTTTTCTGTATCGAAGCTATAGTACTCTTCACAGCGCATTTTTACAGCATAAATGGGGTTATAATGAATCTAATCTTGATTTTGATCGGTCAGTTTGTATGGCAGCTATAGTGATCTGATCTAAATCACTGCGAAATCTCATGAAGATACCTTCAAAAATAGTGGAGATTTTCATCTAAGGACTTGCTTCTGATAGTTCAGTTTGTAAGACAGCTATATGTTATATTGGTCCGATTTAGATAATTTTATTGTTGGTTGCATTATTGCTTTAAGCGATAACCCTTGCCAAATTTGTTAAAGATATCTTATCACATGAAAAAGTTGTTCATACATGCACTGATTACCGATCGTTCAGTTTGTATGGCAGCTATATGATATACTGATCTGATCTAAACAATTTCTTCCGAGATTACATTATTACTTTAGACACTAACTTCTGGCAAATTTCAAGAATATATGTCGTTAAATAGAACAGCTTTCCTCAAAAGCACTTGCTTCTGATCGTTCAGTTAGTGGGGCAGCTATTTGATATAGTTATTCAATCTGAAAAAATTTCTTCAAAATTTGCACCATTACCTTAGTAAATGATACCCAGGCTAATTTCAAGAAGATATCTCGTCAATTAAAAAAATGTTCATACAAAATCTTAATTTTAATTGGTCAGCTTGTATGGCAGCTGTATGCTATAGTCATCCGATATCGACTAAGCGATATGGACGTTGCTAAATCAACTCACTGAGCATTAATTTGTATGTTTTGAAGGGCCTCTAACGTTGCCTTTAGTGTGTAGGTGCCTGTCGTTCTCATATGAATGACCACAAGCTGTATATATGTATAACTACTAGTCTTAGTTTAACTGTAATTTAAATTTTCGCGCATTCACTAGAAATTTTTACACATACATATTTATATTATAAATACTTTTATAATTTTATAATTATACAAATTTGTATTTTTATATTTTTTTTTTGCGATTTAGTCATGCGAACCATTTTGAAAAGGGTCAGCGCGCTGCTGATTTAAAAATTTCAAAGTTCTCGTTTTCAGTAATGCTTTTTTGAGTGACGTACAAAAACATACGTAAGTTTGTGCTGAATTATTCTAGAAAATAATTATATATTCGCGGATAATACATATATACAATGCTAAAGCGCAAAACAGTACAGAAATTCAGTTGCACGAGAACATTTTATTAATTTGTAATAAATTTTTAATTATTTTTTTCGTTTTTTTTTTTCAAATAACACATTCCTTAATATATTTGACCTTCGGCGTACTGTATATGGTCATACACTTGCAATAACACAATTTAACCAGAAATTATATTGTCAACAATATTGATATTTTATATTGCGTCTTGTGACATATTTTTGTCTTGAAAACCGGTAGTTTTGAAATTTATGCAAAAATCATTGAAATGCGCTGCGTACACTTACATGAAACTCGATTCACTTGTTGTTTGTGTGTGGTTTATTCGGTGTGTATAAAAATCTGCGCTTGAAGCACGCTTCGCACTTTCGACGAGTTTTATTGTTTTCTGTTTAGTGTTTTTGTGTTCGCTTCGTTCAAAGCTTGCGAGTAAACTAAACTTGAAATATTTGCGGGCAATTGCTGCTGGGGGACCCAGCGCTGCTCGGCTCAACGTACGCGTAATGACATACATACAAACAGACATATGTATGTTTGTGCATATATGCTCAGCAGGTTTGCATGTAATTAGATGATCGTGTTTGTTTGTTTTCATTGTGGCGATTCTGCTTTCATTGTTAATATTATTTGTTAGTTGTTGCTTTTAGCATACGAAATCAGCTTAGCCGTTGAGTGCGTGTCATAATCGTGTGTGTATATGTGCATCTATGTGGACGCCAGTATCAATTAGTGGCAGTTGCATGCGCCGGCTGGCACAAACGTCAAAGTGGGAACAAAACAAAACGCCAGATGAGTAGCACATGCCGAGTTGCAAGTGACCAGTTTGCAGACCATATCAGTATGTGTAGTGTATTGAGTAGTTAGTCAAGTTGCTGCTGTAAAGTAAACTACAGAAGAGAGCGAGAGTAGCGCGTGAGTAAAGTAAAGGGAGAACTCAGCTGTTTTCTGACTAATACCTGCTAGTTTGTGAGAGTAATGCCTTCAGTACTTATATTATTCTAGCTGATTCTAGCAGTAAAGAAACAGGGCGAATGAAATGCTGTTAATTTATTTATATTTTGGTTTAAGTCTAGCGAACCATATTATTTATTATTTAGTGGTTCAGAAAGCTGCCTATGATATAGATATTTTTTTTTTTTTTATTGAAACGTAACAAGATATGGTTTTACATTTCATTYGAAWTDCAACTAGTGACAAATGTACTAACAAGCAATATTTTTCATAACTTATAAGGTAAAACAATAAAGCTCTATTAAGAAGCTTTTTCAAAATTAGACTTTGTATTAAAAACTAAATATTATAATATTTGTTATTTGCTTAGAAGGTCATGGAACGTTGTACTTTTCAATCTGCGCATGCTATTTCTAGCCTCTCCTAGTTGTCGGGCTTCAGCG